TTAAACCTTGCATGGGGAGCTCTAATGGCATAAAGCTTGCACGTTTATGCCTTAACCACCCTAAATACTTCCATATCTGAAAGGATTTTGCTTGGGGACGCCCAAATACCAAAAGCAACCATTCTTGGACCAAAATCTTCATACAAGGGGAAAAGAATAGATCTAATGAACTAGTGATCAAGCTAGAGACTTGATTACCAGAAAATGATGAGATTGAGAAGCTACTTCTAGATCCACAAGCCTTTCCTTGATCCTTCAAGTTCCTCTTCTTCTTTTTGACTTCAAGAATACAAAGCACGCTAAAAACAGGCTCACAAGCATTAGGGTTTCAAGATCTGTGGGTTCTGGTCTTGGAGGCTGGAGATGAGACCAAGAGAAGGGGAATAAGATCCTTAAATAGGGTACCAAGTCCCGAATTTAGGGTTTTCCAAACCCATACCAACTCGCCGAGTCGGTCCACCGACTCGTCGAGTAGGTCACTTAACCTGCGGCCCAAAATCGCGCTCCTACTCGTCGAGTCATCCCATCAACTCAACGAGTCGCTTCCTAATTTTTGAGGTTTTTCTGTCCTTTCTAGGTCTTCTGAATTTGGGGTGTTACATTTCAAATGTTGTTCAGTGAATCGAAAATCTAAATGGTTTGATGAATGTATGAATCGAAAGTATGGATTGGAGTCAAATCCAAAGTATTTTGTTTCGAAAATTGGTTGATTGTGTTCTCAGAAAACATAGAATTCAAATGATATTTCTTGAAGTCAAGAAATCAATTTGTGATGTTGGAGTCGAAATTGATTTCGACTAATGAAGCTTTGGAATTGGATCATGGTGTTGAACGTATTTGTACTAATTTTGCCTTAAGAACGAACATCTATGTTCGTGGTCAACAGGAAATTTTGGAGTCGATAATTGTTGTTTGGGTTTTTGTTGTGATATGTTGGAGGCGGTAGTGTTGAGATCGCCAGTGGATTTAGTGTAGATGCCCTCTCTTGATATCACAATACAAAAATAGAAAGTAGATCGTTAGTCGACGTTCGGCAGGGATACCCGGGACAAAGCTCTGACGATCTAGTTATTGTTTATTCTCAGAGAAGAGAAAGAATATTCACTGAAAGAGAGTTCTCCCTTCTCCACGAGGAAGAAGAATCATTTTATACCTGGTTCCGGAGGCATGTGGACCAAACTATTTAATAAACCTCAATCATGTTTTGTCTGTTCAAGAAAACCGAACGAAATTAACATTTTGTCTAAAAAAATCCAACAAAGTTCCAAATCGTTAAAAAAAACCCCAATTTTGTTTTCTTTAAGTTCGTTGGGTTTTTTTTGGAAAGACAAAACATGATTGGAGTTTTTTGAACAGTTTGGAAACTTCGTTGATCTAACAAGTCATTTTCCCGATAATAAGCCACGTCATCTGTTCCTCTTTTTTGACTTCCATAGAACTGAACGAAAGTGTAACTTAGTTGGGTTTTTTAGACAAAATGTTAAGTTCGTTGGGTTTTTTTGAACAGACAAAACATGATTAGGGTTTTTTGAATAGTTTGGAAACTTCGTTGGGCTCGTAAGTCATTTTCCCAAAGTTTTATATATGTTATCTGTATATTAGATATAGATGCATTTTTCTACAAAGGTTGGAAGAATTCATATGAAATTTGAAGTCAAACATGCGCTGCATCTTCAAAAAGTCGATGCTTGTAGCAAACATGACGAGATTTTGGGTTCAACCATGACTCAATTTTCCACTTTTCCTGCAGGTTTACCATCGGTGTGAGAATTTTAATTTGTGAGTAATATTAATTTAAAACGATCTCATTTTGAACATCTTATTTTTTTTCATAAAATCATAACAATCTTTTTAATTTACGCATCTCTAATCTCAGTGATCTCTTTTAAATTTGAAAAATCCATGCATTTAGTAAGTACCTTTTCGCTGCTCCGTCGGTAATTCAATGCATTGTATATGATTCCAGATTCCGAATATCCAACTAGGGTGGCAGCTGTATCGTGTTCGGGTTGGCGGGTCATAAAAGCTCAACTCGGTTTCTGACACGTGTCATGCTCTCAGATAGCGACATCTTCCGAAGGCCATAACTTTTGCATACGAGCTCCGTTTTTGACGTTCTTTATATTCAAGCGAAGGTGGAGACGTACTCTACAACTTTCATTTAGAACCCTAAGGCTAAAAAGTGTTCTATCGTAAACTCACTTTTTACAATTCCCGGTGTCGTGCCGCTTTTTTCGCGAAAATTCGATAGGTCATAACTTCTTCGTTATAACTCAGATTTCAGCTCTCTTTATATCTCCGGAATCCTTGTCATGACCACTACAACTTTCTTTAGAGATATCGGACTTATCTAACATTTTATTTTTGATGCTTATTTTTATTCTTAATTTATTATATCTCTATAAACAAGTAAATAAGCATATAATTCACATAATATTCACATAATTCCTCTGTATTACTTCAAAATGAGTTACAATGGTTGACCCTATCTATTACATCATGTCACTAATGCTTAGCCTGAAACACGAGCGTTACACTAGATCTAGTTCTACATAAATATCACAATCACTAATCACAATGAACTACATCTCTCAAGCACACTCTACTAGTGGTATGCATTAGGGGTGAGCGCAGTGCGGTTCGGTGCGGTTATTGGGAAAAACCTCACCACTAACCGCAAATGCGGTTAATCCATTTTCAAAACCGCTTGGTGCGGTTATTTTTGCGGTGCGGTTAGGCGGTTATTTTTGCGGTGCGGTTTTGTTTTTTTTTTGTTTTTCGGTTATTAACTGCATGGATTTGACGCGGTTATTTTATGTGGTTTTTAATCGCATTTTAGAGTTCAAACAACTTTAAGAGTTTAAATATATTACTTGTAATAATAAAAAATCATAACATATAAGACAATTAACTTAAATTAGAAACAACTAATATCTTAAAAACGTTAAATCACTAGTAATTAACAATAAATATCTTAAAATTGACAAATTTCACCATTTTCCAAAGTTAAAAATAAGAAAAAACCAACACTTTTGTCTTCTAGAATTTGATTTTTCTTTCATCTATGAAACTTGTCTTATTTTTAATATTTAATATATTAATAATTAATAAAAAAATTATATATAATATATGCGGTGCGGTGCGATTTTTTTGTGGTTTTTTGAAAATTAATAACCACACCGCACCACAAATTTCATAGTTCGGAAAGTGTTCTGCACGATCCAAGTGGTATCCAGATCTCCACTACAAATCCTACTATTTCTTACACTTATCTCTATTTATCTCTGTAGCCAATGTATTATTTATTGAGGTAAATACAATACACAAAGTGAGGTCATTTGTTTAATCTTATAGTTTGCTTAAGCGGGTTAGCAAAACTCGAGGATGATTTGAAGGGTAAACAAGTTAGCGCAATCTCTCCGTTATAGTTTTGTTTGGTGATTTGCCTTGATGTTATGTTAGACAAGTGTAGATAAAAACAAGAAATATAAAAGGAACATTCATATGATCATATCAATTCAGATGTTGCTAACTTGCTACTCGATATGAAAGAATGTACCATTTACATTGTACACAGGACACCTATAAATATATACTTCATAGTTTATCCGTCTTGTAACCCATAAAGTCAAATAAATTACAGTTGTTTAATTATTAATTATGCACCATATTTGTTCATTTTTAATAGTTCTCCAGGAATACATAGATAATAACTATTTTCATAAAGTTTTCCAGTTACATACATAAACAAAAATATATCAACTTCATACGTACATTTTACTAGTTAGACTTTTGTGAAGGTAACCTATTTTCTTACATGACTTTTCATTATATCTAGTTTCCTCATTACATAATCATTTCCTCAGCACAAGTATGCGCTTACCTGAACTTCTTACCCATTTTGTTAAACTTAATGTCATCCATAAAACTTAAAACGTGGCTGATATTATAATGATAATTTTGAAACTTGACGAGATATTTCTGGTAGTGATAAACTAATTAATGTCAAATGTTCAATATCTTCGAGTAAGGCATTTGAGTCTTCGGTTTAAGAAAAACATTACATTGATTTATCTCATTCAAGATACATTTTGATATTTACTAACTTATTAAAAAGTTTTATATATGTTATCTGTATATTAGGTATAGATGCATTTTTCTACAAATAAGGTTGGAAGAATTCATATGCAATTTGAAGTCAAACATGCGTTGCATCTTTAAAAAGTCGATGCTTCTAGCAAACATGACGAGATTTTGGGTTCAACCATGACTCAGTTTTCCACTTTTCCTGCAGGTTTACCATCGGTGTGAGACTTTTAATTTGTGAGTAATATTAATTTAAAACGATCTCATTTTGAACATCTTATTTTTTCTTAAAATCATAACAATCTTTTTAATTTACGCATCTCTAATCTCAGTGATCTCTTTTAAATTTGAAAAATCCATGCATTTAGTAAGTACCTTTTTGCTGCTCAGTCCGTAATTCAATGCGTTGTATATGATTCCAGATTCCGAATATCCAACTAGGGGTGGCAGTTGTGTCGTGTTCGGGTTTGCGGGTCATAAAAGCTCAACCCGGACACTACGCATATAAATATTTCTGTCATATAACTTATTTAATTATACGGGTTCGTGAGTCAGATTTGGATTCGTGGGGTAGATTTTCGTGGGTAAGAATTAGGCTCGTGGGTCAACCCGTGAAACTATTTGCAAAACCGAACACCACCCATATAGTAAACGAGTTGGCGGATCAGAGAAACTCAACCCAATCTAGATGTAGAGAATTGGCACCTATATCCAACTAGCTCCATCCACTCAAATAGAAAATTGGGGATTTATATTGATGTTTCGTGGAACTTGTATTGAAATATATTTGAATATGAATCAGGTCTCCATGTGAACCCAAATATTTACAGTTGACTTTGTTAGAATATGTACATGTCATTTATATAAACGAAACAAGAATGCTAAATATATCATTAATTTGACAGTTTTTGAAGATGAGAGTAGAGGGTATGGCTTTTTTCTTGACTGTTCTTTTTGCATTTACCCTCATTTCTTCTACGATAACAGTTGAAGCACAACGATTAGGAGTAGTGTCAAAAATACCACCGTCACCAGGGAATTCTGGTATGAGGGGTGGCTGCTGGAGTTGTTGGGGTCACAAAGTAGTCGACAAGAAAAAAGGTAGTTCTAGTTAATGGTTTGTAAAGCAATAATTTGTTGAAAATAGCTACAAAACATCACCCTTCTTGTTTACCCACTTAATTTTTCCTTTCAAGAAATATTATCATGAAATCTTGATTCTGTTCTTATGTTTGCTCATCTTTCTTAGTATTTGTTAAAAAACAGGGACAGCATCAGTAGCTGCAGTATCGATATCACCACCACAAGCTATCCACAAGAAGGGAGGTTGAGATAATAAAGTCATGCATGGTAATGATGGTGTGTTACAGCAAGAGAATACGTCCTCTACAAATAATACTATTTATCTCGAAATTCGAATACATTATTTGAATACTTAAGTTTCAATTTTTAATTAATATATATGGTCGTTTGAGTATTAAATTTGTGTTAATTAGGTTTGTTCATCTTCAATTTTAGATAATAAATAAGTTAAAACCTAATAAATTATTTTGTTCTAGTACTTCCGCTTTTCATTTTGAAACTTTCATCTTCGTTCCTAATTTCTCTTCAGAATTGCTAATATAGTCTCACCAACAAACACATTTCATGGTTTAAAATTGTTATAATTAATATCGTCTAACCTCCTTTCCTTCTATTTAAACTCATTAATTTGATGCATAACATTACCCTAATCACGAGGCTAGTTAATGCATGTGAGGTGAAGGTCATTTTTTACATCCGTTCCCACCTTGTATTTGCCCCTCTGCATGTATTTTATAGATTGCTGACTAGTGACTAGTATTAAGTTTGTATATTAATATTCTTTAAAACAATATCATTTTTTCTTTATATTAGTATCAAAATACTTAACCTGTTTATGAATGATGAAATATGCTAAATCATCATAGCACTTTCTTATATTTTCAATTACTTACAACTTCTTGGTCAAGCTCGGTGGTATAAATTTATATATTTAAATGAGGTTTAAATGTTTTATACTTCTCATTGTATCGACTGAATTGTCTATGCATGCATTCACGGGTGGAACACGAGAAATAACAATAGCTAGGGCCTAGGGGGACGGAAACAAGAACATATCAAGAAAAAGTTTCAAACATGGGAAACTCAAAAAACAAACTTATCTTATATAATTAATAATTGAGCAAACCTCAGAAAAACAACATATTTTCATATGAATATTAGAAAAACACTATTTTATTTTATTAGTGGACAAAACCTTATATTTTCATAAAGACTTATTTAAGGCTTTCTGACATCACAAAAACTAAATTTATTTTCGTCCAAACATTACAAAAAGCATGTATATAAATTTTTTAGTACTTTAAAACCCTTATCTTTTGAATTTTTTTTATGTAATGCATCGTAACTAGCAAACATTTGAGAATTTATTACCTAACATTTGTGATTATCAAAGATTTGTCAAGTTCAAAACCTTAAATTACACATTTTAAAAAATATAAGGGTTTTAATGTTTAAAACTTGATGTTCCATTACCAAAGTTATACATAAATTTTGTTTATGTAATTTGAAACCTAATAAAAAAAAACAACAATTATACTATTGTAAAAAATATAAGGGTTTTAACAATTATACTATTGTAAACAAAACATAATTAAATAAAGCATTATATGCCTAATAGAAGTTCTTGTTGAAAGACTAATATCATTAAGAGGGTGTTTGGCTAAGCTTATTTAAAATGATAAACAATTTTTTTAACTTATATCTTATTAGCTTATATCGATGTCAAAACAAAATTTTTTTAAGAGGGTGTTTGGCTAAGCTTATTTAAAATGATAAACAATTTTTTTAACATATATCTTATTAGCTTATATCGATGTCAAAACAAAATTTTTAAATAAATATTTAAATTAGCTTATTCGGTGTTAAAAACGCTATAAGTTGATAAACTTTTTTTTAGTGCTTGGCATAATGACCAAAAAATGATCCTATAGATGTTGGACAACTATAAATTGTAAGGAGTTTTGATTAGTTAGGGGTTAGTAACTTATAAAAAATGACTTATTTCCGGTTCCACACCACTATAAAATGTTTTTTTTTTTAAAAAACAATCAATCCAAACATTCATTTTAACTTATATCGATGTGGAACAGGTAACAAGTTAAAAAAACTATTTTTAAGTTTAGCCAAACACCATCTTGTAGTGAATTATGAGCATTTGATTTGATATGCGGAATTGTAAGACACGATGAACATGGTGATTTGGGTGCTAAAAGATGTATTCGATCATAGTAATGAGTACAAAAAGAGATCTAGATCTAGTTCTACATAAATATCTCAATCACTAATCACAATGAACTACATCTCTCAAGCACACTCTACTAGTGATATTCAACCCACTATTTATAGAGGTGCTAACAAGTCTCTCTCTCTCTCTCATGTCACAAGGCTCAAATCTCACATGTAAGTGGGTCTTCTCAAGTCAATCCATGAATAACTTTGCACCCTAACATTCTCTCCTTCAAAGTTAGGAATGGATAACTCGGCTTCAATCTTCCAAAAAGAGCAACTTCATGAACGAAATGTAACGTCCATAAATTTCACGCCAAATTCAAACTTTTTAAATCGTAAATAAGAGTTAAAATAGTATTGTTTACAAAATGTTTTCAAATCAATATCCATCAGAGTGTCCTAAAATCATAACATAAGGATGGGGAGCAGTACGGTCACGCCTTCGCCTTGCCACGATCTCCTGAAGTACCTGAAACAATAAACTGAAAACTGTAAGCCCGAGGGCTTAGTGAGCTACTCCCAAAATACCAATACCACACTGACAATACCATATCAGTAACAATCAATCAATCAATCATCCATACTGGGCCATCGGTCTGACTGGACCGCCCTACTGTGCCTACAGTCTATCTGAATCTATCCCAGCATACTGGGCCATCGGCCTGACTGGACCGCGCTACTGGGCCTACTGTCTATCTGAATCTATCCCGAGCCTTCGGCATGACTGGTCCGCCTCGTGGGCCTGCAGTCTCCCCGGACCGCTCATAGGGTATGTTGACCTACAGCACAAAGCAGGACTGCCTCAACCCAACCAACAAGCAATAACCATGTTCGCATAACTATCATATACTACATATAAAGACATCAAACATATTTGTCATATTGATCATCAACCATAGAATCCTCTCGTAACTAGAGTATCGACCTAACAGGTCACTAGCATACCAATCCTTACGGATCATAAAGCATAACATACTATCTATCCTGATTCCGATCTAGCAGATCAAATCCATATATAGCATACCATAACAACCGATCTAACCGATCTCTAGCATAGCAACCATCCTAAACCAGGATGAAATCTAACATAGCAACCATCCTAAACCAGGATGAAATCTAGCATAGCAATAGCATAGCAACCATCCTAAACCAGGATGTAATCTAGCATAGCAATAACATAGCAACCATCCTAAACCAGGATGTAAATCATAAGGGCCGGCCTTGGTGCCGTAGACCCTACTGATATAGTGAGGATAACTCACCTCGCAGATGTCGACTCGGAAGATAAACTCCAACTCTCGGATCACTCGTCACAGGCTCCACCACCTATGATCATAGCACATTATACTCATAAGTCCTTAACCTTATAAGGTACTCCATAACCCACTAGTCAACCCCTGACCAAAGTCAAAGTCCTCAGTCAAGGTCAACAGTCCATGTTGACCCCAACTCGCCGAGTACCCTCGGCTACTCGCCGAGTTCCTCGAAGCACATTCCACTCGCCGAGTCATCGGGGTGACTCGTCGAGTTCCTTCGATTCTCGATCAAACTTTAAGGCCACCCGTCGAGTTCCTTCCTTGCCACTCGACGGATACACACGCATATATATCCTAGGGAAAACTCATCCGACTCGCCGAGTTGTTCTTCAACTCGTCGAGTCTTATGGTGATCTTCATCGGACTCGCCGAGTTGTTCATCCAACTCGTCGAGTTCACGGCCATCTTCATGTGACTCGCCGAGTCAACCTTCCGACTCGTCGAGTCCATTCAGTCCTTTTTCCATACAGACTTGTTTTGAGCCATGCAGCGGCTCCAAATCACAGATCGAAGCTTCTAGGGCATGCTTTTCACGTAAAGTTGAAAACTTTACGTGCATGCATAGCTACAAAGGTTCTAAATGCCAATTCTAAGCTCTTAATGGAACTTCATGCTCAAGAGGGACCTCAATCATGACCAAGACTGTAACTTTATGCTTATAGAATCCAAGGAGGGTCCAGATCTGGAGTTACAACTTCAGATCTAGCCCATAGCTCACCTTTCCAACTCAACATCTCACCAAAAACCCTAGAACTCATCCAAATAGAAGAGATTTACAAGGGAAAGGCGATTTAGTTACCTCTATAAGATGATAACTGAGATAAGAGCTGATTCCCACACTCCACTTGCTCCAAGCTCCTCCTCCTCTAAGCCTTCCTTCTCCAAAGATCTTCTTTTCAAGCTTCAATCACACAATGGGCACACACACACACGTATTAGGGTTTTAAGGGCTCTCAAAGACTGTAAAGAGGCCAAAGGAGGCTAAGGCTCCTCTAAATAGGGGTGCAAACTCCTGGATTTAGGGTTTCATCTGCCAGCTCCTACTCGTCGAGTCCCAATATGGACTCGTCGAGTAGGTCACTTATCATGCGATCCCACCCCGCTGCTACTCGACGAGTAGGTCAACCGACTCGTCGAGTAGAGCTTCATCCAATAACTCTTATTTAAATGATACCTGAGAATCGGGGAGTTACAACTCTCCCCCACTTGAACTAGACTTCGCCCTCCAAGTCCGTCGGAATAAATAATGCCGGGTAATGCTCTCGCATCTCCGCTTCCGGCTCCCATGTCCACTCGGATCCCCTCCGATGTTCCCATTGTACCTTTACCAAAGGTATTTCCTTGATCCGTAGAATCTTCTTCTTCCTTTCCAAAATAGCCACAGGCCTCTCCACATAGTTCAGGCGCTCGTCGACCTGTATGTCATCCAACGATACTACTGCCTCCTGGTCCATAATGCATTTTCGCAATTGCGAAACATGGAATGTGTTGTGGATCCGGCTAAGCTCCTCCGGAAACTCTAGCCTATAAGCCACCCTGTCAACCCTGGCAACAACCCTGAACGGCCCAATGTAACGGGGACCCAATTTTCCCCTCTTCCTGAAGCGGATCACTCCCTTCCAGGGTGAGACCTTCAGGAGAACCATGTCACCCACCTGAAATTCCAGCTCAGATCGGCGTCGGTCAGCATAACTTTTCTGCCG